GCTATTTCAGTCTGTTTGATGTTCACAAATGCACTGTTAGCGCTAGCAAACTGGAGCTATCAGACACCATTATGAATCATGTAGCTAGGCTGATGGAGCTTAAGGTAGATTTGGCCATTAGGCTGTGTGTGGTCTGGAGATAAATTTTTCTCAAACTTTTATTTATTTTACGCAAGAGGTGAGCACATTTTCTAACCAAACCAGCCTTGTTTAGCTTCTCTTCAGGGACGCCGGTGACATGCGTTAATGTTCTGAGCTACTTTACACCACTGTTAAGGTGGTGCAATGTTCTACCAAGGTCAGTGGAACTAATTTGACAAATCTGTAGCAAAGAAAATGACGGCTTGTTAGCTATACATATGTGATTAGCTTTTGGCTGATAATTGCATCTAAATACATACATTTAGAATTCAGTTGCATAGGCTCCAGGTCCCCCATGACCCTGAAAAGGAGTAAGCGGTAGAAGATGGATGGATTTATGGATGGATGGATAGAACTCAATGGCTGATTTCTGGTGTTCATGCTGTTAATATTTATTTATTGTAGTTAGTATTTAGATGATGGAGTCATGTAATAGTGAACATCTTCAACAATGGGTTGGAAAACTGGACAGGACTTTCCAGATCTTTACATTCAAAAGTATTTACTAATCTAGAAAATTCCAGAAGAATACACAAAATCGACCTTTCGCTAGGTTTGAAGACTGAGTGAGGGGTATTTGAAGTACTACAGTAAGCATAATAGGAAAAATAAAACAGTTAAGTAGTGCTCAGTAACATAGAATATAACTATAGAACAGCATATATGTATGTGATTTGAGATACAGCGAGTGCTAGTTTGTTGGCCTTGCTGTTTACATCAGGCAGCGCACTAAATGACCATAGGGCAGGTGCAGGAGCCATTACATATGTGCGTACATAGGTAAACACAGGTATAATTCAGCTGTAACGTGATTTTGAACCCAAAGTACGTCCAAAGTGGGCTGGAAATGACACACCTGCATTCATTTCTGACCAAGAAAACAGCAACTAGCAGAAAACATGAGAAACTTGGCTACTGCCCAACCAAATTAGCACCACGGCAGTAAAATACCACTCATTTATATTTTTGTGTGCATGAAAACAGAGCCTGTAGATGTACATCCCCTCCAATGTGCCTCACTTCACAGCCAAATGAACAAAACTAATGTTCCTGGCCAATTACTTACACACTGCAGTATATTTACTGCACTGATGAATCCTAATTACTCACATATTCCAACATGTTTTCAAGTGAAATAAAATATTATACTGCAAATCAGAGCTTCATAGAAAAGCGCAGCACACAACCAACACACACACACACACACACACACACACATACACACACACAAAGAAGTGTTTGTTTTATTCCCAATGCGATGTGGCAAAGTTATGATGCTTGGTTTGTAAGTCATTAAACTTAATGATTGGCATAATGGGGTTGAGCTACTGCCAGAGGGATAAGGGGGAATCAGGTGGAATTACCATCAGAGGGTTGACACCCACACATGCAAATGCATGCACACACACACACACACGTACAAATTCACTGCCATCGACAGGTTTAACTGGGATCATCTTGATTATGAAGGATATCATTACATGCATTGGGTGGGGGAGGGGGGCAGAACGAGAGACAGAGTGAGGGAGAGAGAGAGAGAGATTGAGAGAGAAAAACTTCGAGAGATATGGATAGAGCGACAGTTAAAGAGAGAAAGACAAAAGAGACAGTGATAGATAGACAGATATATAGATAGATTGATTGATAGATAGAGAAATATAGAGAGAGATAAAGAGAGAGAGAAATAGTCTGATAGATGGAGACAGACAGTGATAGAGAGACACAGAAATATAAAAAGAGAGAGAGAGCGATCTGTATCCAAGCTTTGCTAACACAAATGTTAATATTTGTCATACGAATAAAGCAACTTTTGAATTTTCATTTGAGAGAGAGGGAGAGAGACAGACAGAGAGATAGAGAGAGACACGTGGATGGACAGAGTGCTTACAAAGCATCACTGTCGACACTGAGGAGATTTGACATGTCGTCAGATATCAAACAGCTGTCTGGATGAGAACATCTCATTACTGGATCTGTCTGTTGTTTGAGAAATGCTTCTGTTCCACAGCTATTTATACTCACGTCTCTCTGCTGTCATCCAGCGCGCTAGCTCCCTCCCTCTATTAGTGTCATTACTGCTAATGCTCTGCCTGCTTAATTAGAGATCCTCGCTCACATTAAAAAGGAAAATGAAGTGCATCATTATCAAACCTGATTATTTAAAAAAGTATTGTGTAGGAACTACTACAATTGCTAACCTTTGACCGTTAAAGATTAAGGCCCTTCATTTAGGTTTGTGCTTATAAAAAGCACGAGCAAACTTAACAATACATGAAGAAAAAAACAAAACAACTAAAACATGCTGATGTACTAACAGGGTCTGCAGAGGATTGTGTCTTTCACATAAGCAAAATTGCACGTGTCGGCCATTTTGTGTTTGCCTTAATGAACATGGAATGTGCTATAATTCTACTTATAGGTACAAACTACAGAATGGGGAATGCCACCCTGTCCAGGGTGTACCCCGCCTTGTGGCCGATGCTCCCTGGGATAGGCTCCAGGTTCCCCGTGACCCTGAAAAGGATTAAGCGGTTGAGGATGGATGGATGGTTGGATGGATGGACTACAGAATACTGTAAACAATGTGAATCAATTATTTAGCACCTTCGTTCCAATGTACTTCAAACTGAAATCCAAAATTACAAAATTTTATACAACCGAAGGGTAGGTATTAAATCAGAAAAAAATGGTTTCTGCCTGCTGAACACACACGGTTGGTGGCTGAGGAGATCCAACAACACCTTCCGAGCACGTCGAAAAGCGCTGTATAAATCTAAGGAATTATTATTATTATTATTATTATTATTATAATTATTATTATTCAAAAACAAAAAAAATCACTAGGATTCAGAGTAGTAGTCAAACGAACCTGAGGCCTTATGCAGAGATGACGTTCCACTTCCAAGGACAATATGATATGGTACGAATGCTTTACTCACCATCTCACGTGCACTGCAGTTAAACAAACTCTGTGCTACGTGATCAAGCCTGCGATTAGTTGTTACAAAGCCAATTCATTCCAAGATGGATAACACTGAGGAGTCCTGGAAATTGTAATGAAATTTTAATAACACCACTTACTGTACCCGAGCACTCGTACATGATGGTCGATGCGAAACCTCAAAGAGTAATGACAGCATTAACTATGACTGAACGTACAAAACAAAAGCACTGGGAAACAGACTAATAAGAGATAATAAGAGATAAGAGAAAGCCAGCAGTCATCCGAAAAGAGTTGCAGGATGACCTGAAAGTAAAAGGAACAGCAGTTAAACAACTATAACAACAAACAATCAACTGAACCATCATTATTTCCGTTCCTACACCTCAAGCTAAAGTTTTCTGCTAAAACGAAGCACAGGGAAGGTAAATAATTGTTAATCTTAGCGGTTCTGCAAAGCATTTTCCCATTCACCCATTCACCACACACACACTCACACACCAATGGTAGCAGAGCTGCCATGCAAGGCGCTAACTTGCCATCAGGAGAAACTTGGGGTTCAGTGCCTTGCCCAAGAACACTTCAGCATGTGGAGTCATGTGGAGTCGTATGGAGTTATGTGGATCCATGTGAGACATGTGGAGTCATGTGGAGTCATGTGGAGTCATATGGAGTCATAAGGAGTCATGTGGAGTCATATGGAGTCATGTGGAGTCATGTGGAGTCATATGGAGTCATGTGGAGTCATGTGGAGTCATGTGGAGTCATATGGAGTCATGTGGAGTCATGTGGAGTCATGTGGAGTCATATGGAGTCATGTGGAGTCATGTGGAGTCATGTGGAGTCATATGGAGTCATGTGGAGTCATATGGAGTCATCTGGAGCCGTGTGGAGTCATGTGGAGCCATGTGGAGTCGAGTGGGCCAGGAATTGAACTGGCAACCCTAGGATTAGTGGAGAACCCGCTCTACCACTTCATGGTCATCTAAAACTATTTAGACAAATCAGAACTCTTTTGAAACAAAAACAGGACTCTTCAGAGATAATTCAGCTCATTATGGTTTGTATGTATGATCACAAGAACACCAAGAACACCATCATACTGTACCCACAGTGAAGCATGGTGGTGGGAGCATCATGATATGAAGCTACTTCTCTGCAAAAGGTACCAGGGGTGTTACACATCCTCGAAGGAAACATGAATGGAGCAAAATACCAGGAGGAGAATTTAATTTCACCAGCCAAGAAATTGAATCTGTGGAGAAGATAGATGTACAAGACAACAAGTACAAACATGCAGCCAAAGTCATTCAAGAAGGTTCCTGTTGAACGTTTTTACAGGATTATGAAATCCTTCAGAGGGATCATCTTAACAATGGGGAACTTATAATTTATACCCCTCACTGCACATGCTAAGCCCCGCCTCTCAACCTTGTCATTACTTTAACTTTACATACAAAGATCTAACCAAACCGTGAGCGCCTCCAGTAAAAGGCATTTCATTAAATCAAACTCTTTTCATTCTCTCAATTCGGAAACTGATGATTAAGCTCGAGTGCATTGATGTTGCACAGTCAATTTAACTAAGGGCCCGTAATGTATGTGTGAAAGCTCACGGTTTCATGAGATTTATGCCAGATAACTCTCACTCGACGCATTCACACACAGCACTGATACACATTAGACTCTGACCGGCTCTTCATTCTCATTCTGCTCAGGTCAGCTGTGAAGTGATAAGTGAAACAGGCCGCGACACTTTAAGTGCTTTTCATCAACTTTAATCTGAGGACAGAATGATGTGGACACTGGATAATGCTTAAGTGGTGGTTCTGAATAAATCTAAACAATGAGTCTCAAACTGTTGCAAACTTGGGGTGTTTTTATTGTTTGTTTTTTTTTTCTTTCATTATCAGTTTCGGGGCACATGGTGGCTTAGTGTTTAGCACGTTCGCCTCACACCTCTAGGGTCGGGGGTTCGATTTCCACTGTGGCCCTGTGTGTGCGGTGTTTGCATGTTCTCTCCGTGCTGTGGGAGTTTCCTCCAGGTAATCCAGGTTTCCTCTCCCAGTCCTGTATGAATGGGTGTGTGAGTGTGTATGTGATTGTGCCCTGTGATGGACTGGCACCCTGTCCAGGGTGTACCCCACCTTGTGCCCCATGCTCCCTAGGATAGACTCCAGGTTCGTGACCCTCATGAAGGAGTAAGCGGTATAGAGGATGGATAGATGGATATCAATGTCAGTTTGATAACTCAGGAGCTGTTTAATGCTCAAAAATGTAGTAATTGGAACAGTAATTGGAAAATCTATGATTATTTTTTTAAGGCAATTCATCATGCAGTAAAAAGTATTTCTGATTCTCAAAAAGATACAACATTAAAATGAGGGTTTAAATCTGGTCATTCTTGCGCCAAGCTCTGACGTTAAACAGACTCCGGGAAAACTGCCCAAAAGTGGCCACGCATCTCTGGAAGTACATGTCAACTCTAACACTAATTAAAGTCCATCATAAAAATTGGGCATACAACACGAACAATATGAACATTCTTATTTGAGACAGTGAGATAATTGTTATATTTTATCTTCAAATACAGGTAATGGGCTCACACATATTTAATACCTGCTCTTCAGCTGTATATTTGTCCCCTAAGTGACTTTCAGGCTGTGCTAAATCAGGCCGTGGGAATGGCTGGAGTCTAAATTGGATGAGTGAAGCACATTGCTATCAACTAGTGACAGGATGAGTCAAAACAGTGTACGCTTGTTAATGTAGAAGTTAAAGGAGATAAGTTCTAAACTTTTCTTGAAAGTGAAAAGAAAACTTATAAGAAACTTAAAAGAAAGTGCTAGAAAAACCTGTCTGCCTCCATTTAATCCCATACTCGATTTAATGACTGATGGCCACGTTGCTTAGTTTATTTGATTTACAATAAGACAAATTCATTTGCAAACGTGTGTGTAAAATGACATAATGAGCTGAATCACACGTGAGGAGGCTTCTGGTTTTGATTTGTTTTTTCTGTTTTTTTTTTTCATTAAAACCATAAAATAGAATGAACTCTAAAATCCTGAAAAATAGAGTTAAAAATAGTGAATCGGTATTCTTCAACAGTGACAGTTCCTTGATCTCAGGTATAAAGTGCTAGTCTATAATTTGAAAGGCTGTGCGTACGATAGTGTGCATATGCTTGCGCAGCGGCCCCCAACCCCCGGTGCGTGGACCGGTACCGGTCCATGGGTCATTTGGTACCGGGCCGCACAGAAAGAATAAATAACTTACATTATTTCCGTTTTATTTATGATCTGGATCTGAAAAATGACCGGATTCTCTCCGCTACATCCTTCATCGACTCACTCTTGATGCATGTCAAGACGCTTGTCTCGGTCACGTGATACGTTGAAACCTTACCATAGAGACCAGAGAGCGTTAGGGGGGAGAGAGGATGTTACCTGGATGCTGCTAATAAAGTTTATTATTATATTTTTAAAATACCCCAGTTTTTATGGGGGTCGTATCATTTTATTTTGTTGTATTTATCCACCACACCTTAAAGGCGTGAAAATATTGTCTGATATTAAACCGGTCTGTGGCTCAAAAAAGGTTGGGGACTGCTGTGCTAGCGTACGTGTAAAAAAAAAGTATACAAGAGGCTTTACGATCTGTCTGTCTGTCTGTCTCTGTGTGTCTCTCGGTGTCTGTTACCCTCCTTATGTCTCTCTCTGATTTTCATCTTCTCTGTCTGTCTGTCTTTTGTTCTGTCTGTCCCTCTCTCTCTCTCTATTTGTCTCTCGCTGTCTCTCACTCTTTCTCTCTCACACACACACACACACACATTCTGTCAGACTCTTTGTTTTTCTGTCTGTCCGTCCATCTCTCTCTGTCTCACTCTCAATCCGTCTGTATGTCTCTCTTTCTCTCTCTCTCTCTCTCACACACACACACACACTATCATGAACACTCCTATTAGCATTTTGATTCCTAGCTTCAGTCTTTGATAATCATTCACTACAAAACTTTTAAAACAAACAGAAAAGACTCAGAAGAAAACAAACCCCATGAACATGGTCAAAGGAAAACAAATCTAACACCACCCTGGGAATGTGTTTGGCCCGAGCCCCACTGGTGGGTAATGATGTAATTAGCACCAACCCATGCAGGTCAGCTTACAGGAGAGAAGCCTACACATCCAAATCACACACACACACACACACACACACACACACACACACACACACACACACACACACACACACACACACACACACACACACACTCACACACACACACACACACAATCATATTTGTATCATGTGAATCACAAGGCTGTTTGGGTCTTTTGACCTTTTTCAAATCCCCATGAAATACACAGTTTGCTTTCACTCCTTCCCTGAGGCTGTGTGTGTGTGTGTGTGTGTGTGTGTGTGTGGGTGTGTGTGTATATGTGTGTGTGTTTGTGTGTGCGCATTGGCTTACCCTAAAACATCCTTCCAGTTTTCTTTTCCTGAACATGTTTAACTGCATAACTGCGTTTGATTCTGTATCAGAAACACCCGGTAGTGCAGTTCCATCTGATTTTCCCAAATTCCCAGATACTGTTCACAAACGTCAGCTGTGAGGTGCTATTGTGATGCTGATAGAGCCGAACGAGCTTTTGTACTCAAGCAAGCAATTGGTTTATGTTGCATGGTAGCAACTGCAGTGAGTTGATATTCATGCTGAGTGTAAAACAAATAACATGGTATGTATAATTTTATGTCTATGTCTCATGGCCTCCAGGTTACAAGTCTTAAAATGATCGACCTATGAGAATTCATGTAAGCAAAACTGAAAAAAATAAAGGTCCTGATAGACATAAAGGCCACACCTCCTTCACTGCGACTGAAATACAAAAGCCACACCTCCTTCACCGGGACAGACTAACACAGAGATCACATGCCCTTCACTGGGACAGGGATTGAACTACAAAGGCCACACTGCCTTTACAAAAGCCATGCCTCTTTCACTGGAACTGATTGACACAGAGGTCACGCCCTCTTCACTGGGATTGATCTACAAAGGCTACACCGCCTTTACAGAAGCCATGCCTCCTTCACTTGGACAGAACTAGAAATACCACACCGCCTTTACAGAAGCCATGCCTCCTTCACTTGGACATAACTACAAAGGCCACACCTTCTGCACAAAAGCCCCACCTCCTTCACTGGGACAGAGCTACAAATACCACACTGCCTTTACAGATGCCATGCCTCCTTCACTGGAATTGAACTACAAAGGCCACACCTCCTCCACAGAAGGCCCGCCTCCTGCACTAGGCCTGACAGAGGTTCACAACCCACAGAAAAGAAACTCATTTGATTTCAAATCTGAATAATACACACTAGTAATAGAAAGTCGTGTTGAAATCACACTTTACTGGTAAAGTGATACATTCTCTGTTTTAAACTGCTACACTTGTATCGTAAATGGATTAATTTCTGTAAATCTTCACACCCCACCTGTTTGGGTGTTTAATTGAATTGCAGCAGATCTGAGTTTTTAGCAGTCGCACTATCACCAGGAGAGAGGGCAAGAGGAACAGCGAGTTCAAAACAGTGTGGACAGGAAAGTCAAAGCGTGTCTGCAGAACCCAGCATGACACAACCGGCTTGCAGAAACGCTCCACTAGCTTCTCCTATTACATACCCATGGCTTGTGGTCGTCCCTCACTTGGAATCATGGGGAAAACTTTGCCATTTGCAATTTGTCCAGGCATGTGTGTGTGTGGGGGGCATGTTTGTGTATCTTGGTGGACCAAATGTTCCTACAAGGATAGAAATATCTGACAGTTTTGACCTTGTGGGAGGGCCAATAGGCTGGACCCCATGAAGAATGAGGGGAAAACAACAACAACAACAACAACAACAACAACAACAACAAAATATCTGCAGATTTAATTTAAGAAACTAAAATGGTCTATAGGCAATTTGCTATTGCTTATCAATGTTACGGTTGGCTTAAGGTGTAGCATAGGATTAATTAGCTGCATCAATAATTATGTCAATAGATGGTCCTCATAAGTGTAGTAAGACCAATGTGTGTGTGTGTGTGTGTGTGTGTGTGTGTGTGTGTGTGTGTGTGTGTGTGTGTGATGTGAACTTGAATATATCTGACAACGTGAACCCCTCACTAGACATCTCTAATCCGGTTATTCTATACAACAACCATAAAAATGCTCTTAAGCGATTAACAGTCAGGGTTTGAATTACAAGAGGGGTCTCCATGAGGCAACACCACCGAAATCAAACCAGAGCTGCCCCCATTTACCTCCAGAATCAGACCACGGGGGTCTATGGTGCGTATTGTTTTCTCACATGATTAAACATTGGACATTTTCAACATAAATCTGGCTCTAGGATTTTTTTCCTTATTCATATATTAGCTATCTGACATCACTCGTGACATCATCGGGCTTGAGCTTTCAAAGGTCAGTGCTCGATGGGAGACGCGTCTCCAGGTCACATGTTTCACCAGGTCACAGACCGGTGCGAAATCAACCAAGGACTACATCTAAAGAACGATCTCAAAGGAGTTTCCGTTCTTTCTTATTATAATGTGACGCGTAATAAACATTTATACCCAATCACGCCCACACACACTCCTCTGAAACAGTAACTTCCTTTTTCATACTGAAACACTATCTCACAGGAAGATAATCAGGAGATGGAAGATTCCCCTAAACCTTGGAGATTTGAGATGTTTGGAAACGCTTCAGCGTTCGTCAGTCATGACACTGACGGAACTATAAAATATTTGGAGTATCTTAATGTAGGTGCACTAAACTTTTTTTGCATGGTTTTGGGTTTCGTTTGCGCTAGTTCGACAGTAACACCAGCATGGTTTGGGATTGGCAATTCTTATGAGAGTATACGAATAAAGTCCACTTGAGCTCTACATTTGAACCCTAGATATGTTCACTTAATTGTTTATGATGAACACGTGGTGAAGACTCTGAATG